ATCCTCGCTGTCTTCTTCTACGGCTCCTACTCCGGCGCAGGCAGCGGTCTGTAAAATCCTTCTGGACCCTTTGAGCAGCGCAATGCCTGAGTGGATTTTGTTCAGCACAACAACTGCCTTTCGAACATCGTTGTGCAAAAGAAGGATTTGCGATTTCTGTTCTTGACTATATATTACGCCTGAGCATCAGCCACTTTGTTGGGGGGCGACGGAGTAGCACCTCCTGCAATGACCTGGACGCATGTTCAGGAGGCCCAATGTCAATAGGATGTTGATTGAGGCTTCTTGGCTCAGCATGGAAGAGCAGCATAACATGCACAATACAACAACACATGCGGCTGCTTCCTAGCTACAGGCAAGTGCTGTAGCCTGAAATCACAAAAGCAACTGAGATCTCTGGACCCAACTACATCCAAGCACTTTGAAGTGCAAACAATGTTTGCAGGCTTTAGGACAGCGTGCAGGCAAGTCTGAAATTCGTAGGACAATGCTCTGACACAGGTTAGATAAGCTTGTTCGATTTGTGCTTCGGATTCGCTATGGGCAAGCGCGGTGATCAACACGGCCAGGACAGATAGAGAGTAGTGCAGGAAGCAATGCAGTTTGGGCATGACTCCTTGGTCAGTTGGACAGTGCCCATCCAGTCCTGCGTCGTTTGGGCGTTCCATCATGTTGCATCATGTTGTTTCGGTGCAACATAGCCTTTTTTTTCTGAGGGAAAGTGCGAATCACTTGCGCAGCAGGAAAGTGCCAAAGATGCAGAGGTAGCAACTCCTTCGCACAAAGACTTCTTCGGGATGAAACAACAAAATCAATGCCCGTACATGACAATTATAGCCAAAGACAATGGGTGTGTACCATTGTGCGATTTGTGCAGTCAATACCAACAATGTCTAACAATCCCATTATGGAAGGTTCCATTGAAGAAGGCAAATTTCCTCTTTCTAGAGATTTGCCACATTTCAATCGCTGACCTACACCGCAAGGCCAGGGGTCGTGCAAGGGAAGCAGTGACACCACAGCCAGGCCAGGGAGAGCACCTGTCCCAGAGTACTCGTGTTATTTGTGGAACCGCAGACCTTGAAGCTTTTGTTCTCCTTTGCGGTTGCTTCGCAATGTTGCACTTGCATTGAATCGAAGCCGTTCCTTCATTTTGACCAGGAGAATCCAGTGCGCAACCGCAGAAGAAGGCATTGCATGAAGTGCTGGGCATATTTGAGGTACTGACCAAGCCAAGTAGGCAGATGTCAGATTTGATTCATTCTTTGAATAGATTTGCTGGTATGTCTTTCGCGCCTCGTCTCCCCTGTGTCTCACTATCCTCCCACTCTTTTGCCAATGACCCCACGATTGAGTTTGTCTCCGGAGATATTTTGTGCAGTGGGTGGAGGATGGTGGAGGGGCTGTTTGAAGCAGAACACTTGCCTCCGTGAAAAGAGGTGTTCAGCATCTTCCCTTCGTTGAGCGTTCTTGACGCAGCTTGCTCCAAAACTCCAATAGATCGACCCGTCCGCAGGTGAAGAAGGAAGTAAAGGAAGCGAATCCCCGTCGCTTGGAGAAGCGCGTGGCCGAGAGTAGCTTGGCTTCACATGTCACAGCAGATTTGGCAATGAAGCGAACCTGTGAGCTTCCAAAGACCAATGCGAAAACAGGTTGAGGCTCTTCCAACCTAATAGCGATGGCCTCCACCCTAGTAGCAATGGCCTCCCTTAACAGGTTGAGGCTCTTCATCTACATGTCTTCCAACGAGTCTGTTTTTGGTGTTCGGATGTGTTCGGTCCGGAGGGAGTGAGACAGATACTGTCTACACACGTCCAGGATTTTGCCTTGGGAGGAGCTTAAAGGAGCCTTCTGAGTCTCCAGAGCAAGAGATGAGCAAAAGAAGGTGAGGCCCCTTTAGTAAGGCTTCCATATTTTATCTCTGGTCAAGGCTCCATTCACGTGTCTATATTCTCATTGATTCATTATCAATTCTTTTTACTTTAACCTTCTCTTCTTTTCTCTTTTGGGCTCCGCCCAGGTCCAGCTCCATCAACTCCCAGCAACTTCTTCGCATCACCCGCGCGGGCCATCTCCACCATGGTGCCAGAACCCAAGGCCCGGAAGGGTCGGAGACACAACTTGAGCCTCCATCTCTTTGGTTCGTCGAACATCCTCGAACTCTTCTCCAACGCAATCCAGCAACAAAGTGCAGTTGGCATTCTTTGTTTTTGCTGTGCCAGTTAAGTATATTTTCTGAGAGTACAATTGAGTGCCTCTTTGGAAAGACACTGACCGCTTCTGTAAATAGACCTTGCATGTGAGTCATGACGAACAGGTGAAGCGACCCCGCCGAACCAACACTGGTGGCATTGCTTGGGCATTGAGTTCCATGGCAGATTTGAAGAGAATGCCTCAAACGAAGGTATGCCACATTGCCCAAACCACTGACTGTTCATTGAGAGTTCATCGTCTTACAGTTGTTCCTTGAGGAACTTGAATGACCTCAGTAGAGTTGGGCATTGAACAGGTCTTCCTTCTTCCCATCAGAAGTACCAATGTTGGTCAATTTCCCAAGAAGGAACTTAAGATTGCAGATGATTGCAGAGGTCAAACAAAAGTTTCTGAGCAATCAACTTGTTTGCTGTTTTGTTCGTAAGACCCTTGTTTATGGACACTTGAGGATGGCGGTCCCTTTGGCCCTAAGCTTTGCAAGGTGAAGTTAGAACGCAGCTGGAAACCATTTGCGATGTTGAAGGGGCAACTTGGCGATGGAGGGAACCTTCTTCGGTTTTCCTGCTCCTTGGGACCAGGATTTCATTCAAAAGGCTCTTGGCCATCTTGGCTTATGTAAATCCACAGATCAAACATGAACAACATTTACTAAGGACGCTACTAGGGTGGAGGCCATCGCAAGCAGGTTGGAGGCCATCGCTACTAGTAACAAGAAGCTACTAGGGTGGAGGACGTTAATGTTCCGTTTGGCCCTACCCGGCCCTACCCAGACACACAAACGCAAGGTGCCATAGGGTGCCACAGAAAAAAACGAAGGCGCGCCTCAATGTGTTCTTCCTGAACCTTGGAGCATCTAGGAGCATTTACCTTCTTCTCGGGCCCCTCTGGATATCTGATACTTGTTGCATCAAAGACACGTGAGGACGACTTTCTTGATACTCAGTTGAAGATCGGATTCACAAGGTGGCTCTACCAAAGCAAATCGTTTCACACGTTTTCACGCCACCCATGCGGTTCATCAGTCTGAGGTCCGGGAGCTCTTGGATCGCTTCCCCAACTGCGTCTTACTGGGCGGCATCTCTGCACGCCTGGAGCCCCAAAGGAGTTGCAGATTAGCCCAAGAGCCTCAGTCATTTTCAATCCCGTAACAAGTTGCATTTCCACGTTTTTCAATGAGCATGATGTCATCTTGCCTTCTGAAGTCCCAAGCATAGCGATCATGCCAATCTGTAGGCCTGTAGGCAATGGTCTAGATAAATGTGTGCCACATCCCCTCAGCACAAATAAATGCAAAAAAGCAATTTGTGAAACTCATGGATTGACGGGGAACCAGGGCCCGAGGAATTCAACAGCATGGTTGCGTTTAGATTGAGTCTATTTGTTTGGGCATTACATCATATACAAGATGACTACATCCATCAAGCTCAAATCAGCAGTTCTAAGCTTGCAGAATTGTAGATCCAGGTGCCATTGCAGCCAGGCCATCAAGGTAACAGGCTGCACTGCAACTCGCAACCAAAGAACCGCTTTCTTTGAACGTGCCATAGAGCAGTGTGATAGATCAGTTTGTCAAAAAGGAAGAGATCTGCTGCCACAGCTGCAACACCTTGGACCGGTTTTGCCCAAGGCCGGGAGCTAGTGGCGGCCTTGCTGGGTGAGACTGCTGTGGCACAAGCTGCCGCTGCGGCGCGGAACGGAAGGGGACGAAAAGGTATTTGCGTCCCCAAAGATTTCTGAAGTCAAGCCGAAGAGATAGAGAAAGGGCAATCCTTTTTGCTATTGATTCATTGATCGTTCTTGAGTTATATAAAGTTTGGTCAGAACTTGTGAAGTTGGATGGTCGCAATTACATGGGATCAGTGTGTGGAGTTTCTGTTCTGCATTTTGCACTGGTTGCTAGGATGAATCCGAGCTTCCAGAAATTGCCACTGTTGCTTGATCGAAACCTCGGCAGGTCCTGGTGCAGCCGGGCATGCGGCAGCCAATAGCTCTTGAATTAAGGTGTTCTGTTGTGCAAAACCTAATTGGTGATTCCAAAAGTTTGTTTTGTTGCAGAATCGACTGTAGAAGGACCCGAGGCAATCACAAAAGCTTCATGGTGCAGATGTGATCATGCCGACACCAGAACATGCCATTTGCAAGACAAGCTGCTTGCTGAACAATTCGCTACAGCTGCTTGCTGTGTGTCACATCTTTGAAGCAACTGAGACCATTGAAAGCTCAAATTTGCAGGTGCAGCAGCGCGGAGCTTGGCTCTCCGCAGGTGTGAGGGTGTGAGGGAGACCGTTCTAGTCCCTTTTTTTCACATCAGATGCGATGGCCTCCAACCTCCAAAAAGCAATTGTCGTACTCGACTTTTGAAGCAAGAGGCAGAGAAGTCAGTTTGTGGATCACCTTCTCCGAACATGCAGCTTGATTGGGAGGCACCAGAGGCTGAATTTTGGCTGCGTGGCGTGCAGAATGCAACACAACAGGCAAGGGATACGCCGATGCCACTACCAGTACTTGAACTTGTTTTTTTTCTTTTCCCCTTTCAAGCAACAGTGTGCCCTGCAACTCCAGCGTTGTTCATGAAGGGCTGGTAGGTCTCTCCAGTGGACCCGCAGGCTCTTGGCCAGCGTTTGAAGCTGGACTCCCTGCGCCTTCGGCTGTCTGCAGCAGGTGCCATCAGATCTTGTTCTTGTGGCGTTCCGATTGCTCACCTTCACTACTTCTGTGAAGGTATATAGTTGAGTCTTTACTAGAACTGAGCCAAACCACATTTCTATGAAAGTCCACCCTTATAGAAGACCCTTATAGTCTACAATTTGATTTTATTCCCACACAGGCAAACACCGTTTGCACTGTAGCTCGACCGAGTATGATCCTTTGTGGCAGTCCACTGCTTGCGAAATCGAAGTGCAGATTGTTGGCAGGCTGCACCAACTTGGACGTCATCGACTTGCCCGAAAAATGCAGCAACAGCCACTTGGTTGATGTCCCGTTGAAGATCGAGGTGCGCCAGCTGAAGATTCTGATTTTGGATGAGGTGTCTGATGCTTGCTTCCTTGACATGGCAGTATGATGTACCTGTAGAAGCATGGAGGCCATCGCTAGTAGGATGGAGGCCATTGCTCTTAGGTTGGAGGCCATTGCTAGTAGGATGGAGGCCATCGCCATTAGAAACAAAGAAAACAAGCAGGGAATATCGGACAGAACTCAAGCATTTAGACTCCGGTGACCAAGAGAGAGGATTCGATCTGATCACGAAGGGCTTTAGTGAATTTCCTTTGAGCACCAACACACAGAGACAACATCATCTCACCTTTTGGGGTTCGAACGAGTGCACAGCCTTTGCCAGCATCTAGTCCGACTGGATTGCCTCAACGAAGCATCCTGGGCCTCGACAGGAGATGCGTGTGAAGCACGTGGGTTCCAATGCCAACCTCCTCGTTTGCTTGGAACCTGGTCCGCCACTTGAGCTCTGCAAGAGGCAGCGGAAGTGAGATCTAGAATCTGAAGTGAGATCTTTTGTGCCGTCCTATACTGCAAACTCCCACTCCTGGGTCCAGGATTCTGCGTCGCTTGCCAGGTTCGACCCCAAGCTTTCTCGTACTGTGCTGGTTGGTGCTGCTGCCTCCAACGTCAGTGCAGGAGGTAGGGAGACTGCTTGTTTCCTGGATCTCACATGGAACCCAGCGAAGTGACACCCGACACCTCACAGACACAGAAAAGATACTCTGGTATGCTTGGAAGAGTTCTGAGAAAATTGAAGGATGGGTTGGCCATGAAAAACGAAGAAACACAAACGAACTCGATGAAAGGATGAAGAATCACGGATTTCGTTTAGCTTTACTATCTTTACTCAACTCCTTGCGCTGCTCCATCGTTTCATGGTTGTTTAAGTTTATGCTGCTTCACTTTGCCAGTTGATGATTCCCTGCCACCGTCCATCCTTTGTGGCCCCGATGCTGCTGGGTGCCTGGAGGTGTCATCCTCAGTCAACATCTGCACTTTGAGAAGAATGTGTTCAGAGGGAGACTGGTTGGTACGATCGCGTACCAGTACACAGGTTATTACGGTTTGACTTTGACCTTTGACATACTTTTCCCCTCAAAGCGCGTGAGACATTGAAAGGCCAAAAGGCCGTTTGGTGTTAGCAGATCCTCTGTAGCGGTTCGCCTCAGGAGCGATTCGCCAACCTCTGCAAGGAGCGCGCGCCGCAATGGATGTCTAGTGTGGACGCCCAACATCACTAGGGGCACTTAGTGCAAGTGCAAGGCAGCGACCACCTTTCTACATACGGATAGGGGGGCCCTTGGGCCAGAGAGTGCCAACGGTATCGATGTGTACCGATGGATGTCGTGAAACTTGCAAGCCCGGCTCTGATGAACCTGGGTGATCAGAAAAGAAGTGAGGTCTTACGAGACGCATCGCTTTCGGGATTCAGTCGAGAACGGACTTCCCCATCTGAGCTCGTTTCCTACCCGAAAACATCTCCTGATCCTCAACAACTCTCCATCTCTGTCCCAATTGAACAAATCTCCCCATTTGCATATCTTCACCCCTTTTAGTTAACGTGTTCGCTAACATCGCCTGAGAACTCACCCACCGAACTCTCAAGTGTCGCCAAAAGTTCAAGGTCCACCCTACGTTGAGCACCTTTGAGGGTCACATAAGGTTTCTCAACACGATCGTAGACGTTTCTACTGTCTGTGATGAGCACGCCACCGACTTTCGACACATGTGAATCGATATCGTGAACATTCGCTTCATGCCCCATGACTTCACCCCATTGAAATCTAAGCATGTGCAGAATGTCATCCCCGTCCACGGCCGCTCTGGCCTCTGCTGATCCCGGTGACCGGCAAACCCGATCAATTTTTCCACTTTGCCAAAGCCAGGGGGAAACCTTGTCAATTTCACCATGTTCCAACCTAACCCCAGACATGGCCACAAAAATCCCTTTCGTGCTACCTCCATCGTGCCTGTTTTGTGAGCTAGCGTCCGTCCAACAGTACAATTGTGGTTTCTCATGTCCCGGCAAAAGGAAGTATTTTCAACGGTTCATGAGAAGATCCCTTGACTTTGTTCAACAACTGGTTCACATCTAACAGGGTTTCCACAGTACTTTTGTTGACTTCCGAAAGGAACAAGCTCGTGTAAGCCGCAAACCGATAACCAATTTGATTGGTATGCCAGCGCTGAGTGCGCCCAAAAGACCTCTCAGTTCTGTTTTCTCTTGGGGCGTCGTTTCCTCCTTTGGAGTACGACGGCGATTCTTGGACACATTGATTGGCTGTACTTCTTCTAGGTATTGTACCTGATCTAGATGGAAACTGCCGTCTTCTTGTGCTTGTACTCGTACACCACACTGGATGAAATCTCCAGTCCCCCATTCGCCCCAGGCGAACCGTTTTTGGATTTGGGTTTTTGCTTCTAGCCACTGTTGGTTGTTTGGTAGGCCACAGAACATGAAGTCGTCCACGTGTCCTGACACCAAGGCGATGGTCTGATGACCTGCGTCTCGCAATCTCCAACAGCAGGGGTCGGACTTGAGTTGCTCAAATCCTTGTGTTTGCAAGAAGCTGTTCATCGTCTCAAACCATTCTATTGGTGCTTCGACCAAACCATGGCAAGCTTTTCGCATTTTCACGATGCTTTCTGCTGGTAAATGCATAGCTCGGTATATTTCTTGTGTTGGAATGAGGTAGAGCTCCCTTTCAAATTCTCTCCCCTGAAGAAAAGCTGCAGATACATCTCCCTTGTCTTGTGAACAAGGGCTTTGTGATTGGCTGCCCATTGTAATGGCACTTGTCGACTCTGTCTTGTCATAGTAGGCGCAAATGTAGGCCTATTGGCATAATCAGGGTCGAGGAACCCCAACACTACTACTGCTCTTGCTTTTGGTTTGAGCGTGCCATCTTCTTTCTTTTTCCATGTCGATACCCAGCGCATTCTCAAAGCCTGGGAACGGTTTGGACGTAGATGTGGTGGAAGTGCTTGCAACGCTTCTGCCGCTACAAATTTGTCCACCTCAGCTTGTTTCGCACCACTGAATTGTTCATGTTCTTCAGCTGACATTCTGCGTTCTGACACTTCAATGCTTCGTCGTTTGAGAGCGCTGATGAAGAAGGCCTGGCTTTTCTTGCAGAACTTTTCCCAATTCCGGTGTTGTGTTGGTAATTCCACTTCTATTTCCACTGCAGCGGTTGAGGAGGTATTCCAGAAACTGCACACCTCTTCTTGCCAGAATCCACTTTGTACTTCGTCTATGCAATGTGTGCCTGATGGCATTGGTACCCTTTGACGACTGCGACTTCTACCCCTTGTCCTCCGGTTTGAAGGCGATGTTCGTGTCTCACCTGCCTCAATGTCTGATGGTGGCAGGGAAGGAGTATAGTCACTGTCCACATCCACGATGGTCCTGTCAAGTCTGGGGCCGGATCTGTCACTGCTTCTCTCTTCGTATCATAGCGTCTCTGACCTGTGGGATGGTCAGTTGGTTGTTCCTCCTGTGGTTCCACTGACGAGCTTTGTGATGAGGTTGGCCCCACACCAGTATGATCATAGTATTCTCCTTTTTGTAGGTCAGCTGCTATGCCCGTGAAGGCCCAAGGTAGTTGTAATGGTTTGTTCAACTCATGTAGACTGGCTTCACGCGCCGATGCATGTCTCACCTGCTCTAGTGCTACCTTGATCAGTTTGGTGCCCCTTACTAGCCACGCAACATTGCTAGGATGGAGGCGGTGGTCCTTGTCTCTTTTGGTCTCTACTGCCAACACCCGCGCCGGTCCGAGGTACACGCCTTGATTCCAGGAGTGGTTCTCATTGGCTGGGACTGTGGTGCGCCAGTAAAAGACCAAGTCTCCGGGGGTGACCGCCTTGGGTTGGTATTTTCTGGAATTGCGAGCGCGAGTGAGTTTTTCCTGTAGTTGCCAATCGATGAATACCTTGGCAGCACTGGCTCTGAGTTGGACAGCGCTTTCATGTTCGCCATCTGGATTTTGCATCATCTCCATCGGAAGGTCATGGACTCGATTGTCGAAGAGTCGTCCCTCCGAGTCTGGTGTTCTGCCGAGAGCATGTTCAAATGGACTGTAACCCCGAACATTTTCATGCTGGTTCCAAACATAAGTTGCTTGTGCCAAGAGTTGTTCCACACTGGAGTCGTCCGTCTCCCCTACCAGTTTGTTCAACAGTTCTTTCAACCACCCAATGCTACGCTCCACATGTGAAAGGTTCCAATGTGCTTCTGCAGGGATGATTTCCTGTTGGAACCACATCCGGAATTCCAAAATAGGGTTTCCAGCGTTGATCAAAAACTTGTATGTACTCTGATGGAAGGATCACTCTTTTCCTGTTGTTTGACAGGGCTGTGACCATGAATTGAATCTACTTGCTTCATCCAAAATCACTACAAACTGGTATTGTTTCTTCGTTCTCGGATCTCTCCAAAAAGCAGCGTCCACTTGGACGCTTCGCCATCGGTCTGTGTGCGCATGGAGGTTCGCTCGCTTGCGAGGATCAGGTCGTTTCCGTTCTTCACAAGCGCTGCGTCGGTACAACTTGGCCAAAGCCAACACCAAGGGTGAAGCTTTGTGTTTATGGAGGGCCTAAACCAAAAGGTGATAGCTACCGTGTCCGGTTGAACTATGGATCAGTGAGATGTGGCTCATGATTTTCTCCCTCTCTCTGGCGCCCACCTGTTTAACCAACTCTTGTTCTTCCGAGTTCAAGTCTCCCAAAACCAGTTCTTTGTGCTCACCCACAAAAATGGTTCCCTGTTCACCCAACATGCACCGAAAACAGCGCAATTCTTTGTTCCAAACCTGAACCTTGCGACACTCACACGACGTTTCGATACGGCTCGGTCGATCCATGTCCGGTCGTCCATCCTGAACCCAACACTGAACATCGCTCATGGAAAACAAGTGTGACATGTGGTGAATAGCTCTTCTAGCGAACTCTTCCGTCTAAAGGCCGTTTTCCTCGTGACAGAACCCTCACAAACAGCATGTGGTAACTCATGTGGTTGGCACTTGCGTGTGTTGTGTAACAGCCTAGCCAGTTTTCATGTGTCACCTCAAGCCTCCACTCCTTTCCAATCTTCCTACCAGTTTTGGTGAAATGATGGCGGTCGACGTTTGATGTTTGTTCCGCCAATTGTCCATGGGTTCCCATTTCCATGCACGGCAACGACGACTCCACTCCCAAATCACGATGATGCCTAAGTGTGCGGCTGCTTCAGCCACCAACAATCCACCAATGTGTTGTTTCCGAGCGTCCGTTTGTTTTTGTTTCAATTGTTCCACTTGTTCTTCCGTCCGTTGATTGCAGTTTTGCATCGGACTGAACGCTCCACATTCGGTGGCGATCCAACAAAAAAAGGTTTCTTTTGCTCAAGCGTTTTGATCGTTTTGCGAACCCCCTCTCCCGTGGACAAGTCATGCCCATTCCAAATCGAAAGTCGTTCGGCTTTCAACCCCTTGCGCATAGCTTCTTTTGCCAGCGCCGAGTCGGTCGAGCATGCCACTTCGATCAAAAACAGTCGGTCCTGAGAGTGCTCAATCAAGGCCTTCCAGGCCTGAGGGATGAGCTGTTCACTCTGGTCCTTCAAATAATATTTGCTATCCGGAAGTGGCGTGGCACACTCACTCATTGCGCGTCCGCATGGTGTTCCACCTTCTCGAAGCCGTCCGTGGAACGACTTGCAGAACTGCGTGTCTTGCGAGATTTCTCCTGCTGCAGTTCTTCCACGTTGCGCTGGAGTGTCCCCACCGTCATGGCCAGTGAGCGCATCACCTCGGTCATCTCTGCCATCTCGGGAGACAGGGAAGACCTGGTGTCTTCATGGATGTCACAGGCGGTTGTTGATCCATTTCTGTTGGGTATCCACTCTTCTTGTTGGGAGTGCCCTTCATGGTGAGTGTCTCCTGCAGCGTCTTGGTCTGTCGGGGAGTTGTGTTCATCTCGTCCTTGTCCATCTTCTCTGCCCACAGGGCTAGTTGCCGAAGTTGCCAATGACTGTTGTCCGTCCTTCTTCTGGACTTCTGTTTTGGCCCAATTCAGGTACCCCGGATCCGACAAGGCGATCTCCTGGAAGGTCATGCCGTTGCATCGTCCCCCGAGCTTGTACACGGTCTCCGACTTCAACTCGACCCGCGTTTCTCCCACACGAGGTTTGGCCGGCAGGCTGATCCCTCGCCTGGAGCACATGTCGCGAAGTTCCGCCAGTGTGGCTGGGGTGAGGCTCCGCTACCATGCAAGTGCAAGGCAGCGACCACCTTTCTACATACGGATAGGGGGGCCCTTGGGCCAGAGAGTACCAACGGTATCGATGTGTACCAATGGATGTCGTGAAACTTGCACTTAGGGCCCGCCATGGATGACGCGACATGACTCTAGTAGCGTCCATCGGTTGGAAAAAATGAAAGACAATTAAACCAACAGGGTGCTTACTTCAAATAACCATGAGTTGCCCGTGCGCGCTTTCGAGACAGGTTGCTGGTGCTGGTGCTGGGCGCCGGGCGCCGGTGCTGGTGCTGTGAGCTGGCCGTGCGCGTGGTGGAGACAGGTTGCTGGTGCTGGTGCTAGGTGCTGGGCGCCGGTGCTGGTGCTGGTGCTGTGAGCTGGCTGTGCGCATGGTGGAGACAGGTTGCTGGTGCTGGGTGCCGGGTGCTGGGTGCTGGTGCTGTGAGCTGGCTGTGCACGTGGTGGAGGTGCCGGTGGTGGTGCTGGGTGCCCGGTGCCAGTGCTGGTGCTGGTGCTGTGAGCTGGCTGTCGGTGCTGGTGCTGGGCTGGTGCTGGCGCTGTGAGCTGGCTGTGGTGGAGACAGGTTGCCGGTGCTGTGATCTGGCAGTGGGCGTGGTGGAGACTGGGTGCCGGTGCTGGGTGCCGGTGCTGGGTGCTGGCTGTGCACGTGGTGGAGACAGGGTGCCGGGTGCTGGGTGCCGGGTGCTGGTGCTGGGTGCCGTGAGCTGGCGTGCCGGTGCTCGGTGCTGGTGCCCGCTTCTGACAGTGAAGGCTGGCAAGCCGCCGCTTGTAGCTGCCGAAGTGCCAGCAGTCATGGGCCGCGTGAACTTACGCACGCAACGTCATACGGTGTGGTCGCTCGAGCGTTCTTTGTCTATCAGCGCTGTGGGGTATTTACACTCAGCTGTGTCAAGCGCCGTACTGTTTGCGCGCATACTTTTGTACATAATGTTCTTGGCGCAACGTCAGGCTCTCAACCGACCATTGTTTCAGCCTGCTTCAGCGTGCTACACACACAATAGTCGTGTGCTGGATACTCCTTGGCCTTGGGCGAGTGAAGCCTACGGGCTTTGCCGTTTGTGCGCATACTTTTGTGCGCATAAACTTATACGTGCAAGATCATACGGCCTTATATATCGTTCTACAGATCGTTGCTTCAAGCATGCTACAAAGTCAATATAGTGGCGCTGGATAGTGCTTGGCCTTGGGCCAATGACACTTACGGGCTTTGCTGTTTGCGCGTATACTTTTTGCGCGCATAATGAAACTTATACGCGCAAGATCATACGTTGTTTTTCCCCAAACAGGGATAGCTATGGGGTTCTTACTGCCAATAAGAATGAGCTGCGCACGCTTTCGAAAGGGTGTCGGTGCTGGTGCTGGTGTTGTGGTCCTAGGTGCTGGTGCTGTGAGCTGGCTGAGCGCGCGCTTAAGACGGGTGGCGGCGCTGGTCGGGTGCTGGTGCCGCTGCCGGTGTTGTCAGCTGGCAAAGCGCGCCGGTGCTGGTGGCAGCTGGTTGTGCGCGCTGTGGAGGTGCCGTAAGCTGGCTGTGCAGGCTGCGTACATTCTTGTTCCAGCCAGTTGCATGTCAACAGATCGTGGGATTCTGCCGAGCTATCCTTCCTCCTAGTAGCGATCCCAAACCCCCTAGTAGCTTCTTCTTCCTAGTAGTACGGCCAGGAGCCCCTAGTAGCGTCCTTGCTACTAGTAGTAAGGCCTGGAGCCCCTAGTAGCGAACATTGTTCCTATGGTGACATTGGTCTTACTTGGGCGACACTTCTGAGGCTTGGAGCGCTTAGAGCTACGGCTTTTGAAGTCAAGCAAAGAAGCGAGAGAATCTGAGCAGAAGGAGCCGCGGTTTGCTGTGGGTGGGGCGAATATTTGCACTCCTTGTAAAGCCATTTTGTACATCCAGTAGGACATCGCTTCGAGTGTTTGGATGAAGGAGATGATGATGATGACGATGATGTTCCTTAAGCGTTCAAATGGCAAATGGGGAATTTGTGACTTACTGCTAAAGGACAAACAGTTTGCCGTTGGTTCGTAGAGAAGGCTTGCATCACCTGATTCACCAGGAAAGCACTTTGGAACTTCTCACCAGAGCCAGATCGGCTGGCTTTTCCTTCAGCCGCGCACTTCAAGAAGTCATCCAAGGCATAGCGTGAGATGACCGCCATGCAACATCTCACCAATCCTCGACCAATGAAGAAGCAGAGGGAACGGTAGGTGTAGGTTTCGTGCCCTTTGATGTGGACCTTCCATGGAAAGTTGACGCCTTTGTGCTGCAAAATTATAGCGACCCGAACCGCTCAACAGGCAACAGAGTCTCAACATTTCACTTTGTCCTGTCCACGCGGTGCAAGCAGGGGAAGCACATCAGCACAAAACGCATCAGACAAAACTTTAGATTTTCTGCACACCACAATCCTTAATAAGACACGATTCTCCCAATCTCTGTGTGGTGGCGGGGGCAGCGAAACCCAGCAATCAGAATGGATGGTAGCACGTGACCATTCTGACTTGGTGAACTCTGCCCGCCAATCCAGTTCCATTGCCAGGGACTCCCGGATGCAATGCTGGTGCTTTGACTCTGGAGGAGGAGTTCCTGTAGAATCGGGGTGATGGCAAACATGAGAGAGAGAGAGAGAGAGAGAGAAAGAAAGAAAGAAAGAAAGAAAGAAAGAAAGAAAGAAAGAAAGA